GATACTCTCCAAAATGGCGCTACAGGGTGACGTGGAGGAGACGAATTGTTGAATAAAGTCGTTATTTTTTTTCTTTTGCGCACAAAAAGTATTATCGTAGCTTCGTAAAATTACGGTTGAAACCCTGATGTCACATGGATTATTTTACAGATCTCCTTGCTACGTTTCTGGACTTGGAAACATTTCAGTAATTAATGACAAAATTTTCATTTTTGGGTGAACTAATCCTTTAATAGTATTGCTGTTTCAGAATTACCCTCACTCTCTCCTATTTGACAGTGTCCTATGAGTTCTAGTGTATTTGTATATGCTGTTTAATATTTTTATTTGTGTATGTTCAGGACACCTAGGAAAAGTCCCAGTCCCAGGAGATCCCAAAATCGTTCACGGAGTCGCAGCCATCACAGAGAAAAACAAGGCGCCAACTTCGACCGTGAACTGGAAAGAGAACGAGATCGGCAGCGCAAAGAACGGGAGGGAAAGGACCAGGATAGAGATAGAGAGAGGGAAAAGGACAGGGAGAGAGACCGAGATAGACGACGCTCCAGAACACCAGACCGAACCAGGGAACGACGCCGGAGTCGCAGCGCCAGTCGAGAGAAGCGGAACGAGAGGAAAGACAGAGAGAAAGAGAAGGAGGCAGAGAGTGAGAGAGAGCATAGTCGCAGGAAAGACAGAGAGCACCATAAAGATAGGGAGAGGTCCAAAGACAAGAGGAGTAAAGTAGAGGGGGAAGAGAGGAGGCACAAGGAAGATAAGGAGGAACGAAAGCACAGGGAAGAAAAGAGGAGTAAACGGTCAAGGAGCAGAAGCAGAGACAGGAAACACAAAACCGAACGATCTAGCAAGAAGCGCTCGGGCAGCAGGAGCAGGCAGGAAGGAGGGGAGGAGAGGAACAGGAAAAGGGAACGCAGCCTTATTAAGGAACGCTCACACAAACGCAGTCGGAGCAAAGAGCGCTCGCACCGACGAGAATCCAGCAATGGACGAGAACATGTAAAACAAGAGCGTCCCAGTCCTGAAAAAGGAGAAAGAACAAACAGTTTTCGAGCAGAGTCTCCCTGATCCAAGTCTGTCTCTATCTCCTCCTCTCTCTCAAATTCCCTCTGTACCTTTATTCCAGTCCCTCTCTTATTACTTCATGTCTTTATCTTTAATCCTCTTGTGCACCACTTGTGTTGAAGAAAGCATATGGAAAAGCCTGGATTTTTTTTTTTCTGCACTGTTAATTGCCACTTGTGTAGATACCAAAAAATGTAATTCTCTCAGTTGCCCATTACAGATGTCCAGACTGAAAATGGCATTTTAAAACTTTTTTTAATCCCCTTTCTCTCCCAATTTGTTTTCTGGATTTTCACAAATTGCTTTGTTCATAGAGCTCAGAGAATGTTTTAAATTTCTGCTGAAAGCTTTGCTGACATTGTGCTGTTTCATTGCTCTGTTGCATCTCGTTTTCTAATAAAATTCTTGTATGGAACACATTTGCTCAGTTTTATATTTTTTATGTCATTAAGCAAAACTGTTGGGTTCTGTAAGTAAAAGTGTCAATTTCTTCATAGAGGTTGATAGTTTGCGCTGACAAACCTTTCAAGGCAAACCTGCCATGAGATTTGAGGTTATTAACTTAAGCCCATCTTGAGAGGCGTGAATCTTCTCAGACCTTAAAGGCCTCACATCAGTGACCCGCCTTCTGCGTGCGGTTCTGTTAGATTCTGAGAAGATGAGGATGTGAGCTACAACGCTCCTAAGGACACCTTAAGTTTGCGCCAGGCTTCGGCCTTGACTTTCCATTCACCGAGATCCTCTGACTCAAACTGGTTCTTTTTCCATCAACCAACTTCAGCAAAGATCAACTTGAGCCTACAGATTGCATCAGAACTCTGTTTCAGACCGACAAGACGTGCAAGTATCAAACTTAGTCTCATTAATTGATACATTAAGTATCATTTGCACCTTTTTACAAAGGTGTGTTTGAACTAAGAAATGGATGTTTCCTTCAGGCTGTCGATCTGCTGAATATCAAATGGTACCATAGCTTCA